GAAAATAACAACTTTTGTTATGCGGTCTAATAATATCATTTGTTGATAAATATTTATTGCTTGAGTTTCTATTTAAAGAATACAGTACTGTATAGACTCGACAGTCAAATGAGATGAACATAGAGTCTGAGTACGGTTTGTTTGGTTTGATAAGGTTTTTGAGACTATCAGAGAGTTAGGATCTTATATTTGCATAGCTTTGTACTGTAAGACAAACATTTGGCTAATTTACATCAAATATATACTCAACTGTTTCTACACACCAGAGACGGTGTTTGACTCACTATTGTCTCTAATATGCGACAAATTCTTGTGTATTTCAATGAAAATGTACATTATATCAAGTTTGAAAATAGGATTAATTATCATTTGTATATCTCTGTCGCGTATTCAATAAACTTAGATAAGAGACGAACGGATTGAATATTTAAGACCTAAAAATTGGCAATTTGTGAGACATTTTATAACATTTCATAACAGAGCATATGTCAGATTCACAAATATTTCAATAAAGGGTTTTAAGAATAAAGACTTAATTTATAGAGTTGTATATCGATTGCAGACTTTGTATCGAAGATGTTGTACCTCTTCATGAAATTATTTGTGAAAATGACATTAAATTTTTAGTACAGAACAGATATACACATAACAGATCAAAGTCCAGTTCCTCTCAAAACAGTACACATACTGAACGATCAATTCTCAATACATCTATTGATTAATTTACAGACAATACACTACTTTGAGTTTATTTTTAACTATAATTAACATTTTGAAAAATTCCATCATTTCATGCATTTATACAGAAAACACAGAAAATCATTAAAAGAATAAATATTGACATTAAGTTAATGTAAATTCAATTTCTATAATCAGATCCAAACGGAGACATAGCTCTATCGGGACACTTAAACGGAGGTCAGAACTCGCCTCCGAGTGGTATCCAACAGCCCTGTGCCATATGTGCCGATAAGGCCACCGGCAAACACTACGGCGCCTTCAGTTGCGATGGTTGTAAAGTAGGAAAACACATCTCATTTCAGACCTATAGTCCATTTACTTATTGTCTTATTGTCTACTATTTGACTCGAAAAGGGATTCTTCAGGCGTTCTGTACGTAAGAACCATCAGTACACGTGTCGGTTCAGTAGGAACTGTATTATCGATAAAGACAAACGAAATCAGTGCCGATATTGTCGGCTCAAGAAGTGCTTCAGAGCCGGCATGAAGAAGGAGGCCGTCCAGAATGAAAGGGATCGCATCACATGTAGGCGACCCTCTTATGATGACTCGGCCAACAGCGGCGGCACTTCCATCCACGCACTCCTTCACGCGGAGATGTACTCACGACAGGTACTGTCCAACACTTATCAAGTATTGGTCGCCTAAGTAATGGTAGATTGCATTGAATTAATTCGTGATTTCTTTGTTCAGATCGTTTCACAACCGATTGAAACGAATTTCCAGTCCAAGAAATTGGCGAATATTAACGATGTTTGCGATTCAATGAAACAACAGCTCCTAATACTGGTCGAGTGGGCTAAATGCATACCTGCCTTCACCGACCTCCAGATCGACGATCAGGTGGCCCTTCTGAGGGGTCACGCCGGCGAACACTTGCTGTTAGGACTGTCGCGAAGATCTATTGTTATTAACGATATCCTTCTGTTGGGTAATGACTTCATAATCCCGCGCCACTCACCAGACCCTGAGATTAGAGGAATCGGTAACAGAATATTAGATGAAATCGTGGGCGTCATGAGAGACGTGCGGATGGATGACAGCGAGTTTGCGTGCCTTAAAGCGATCGTCTTCTTTGATCCCTGTAATTGTGTTTTGCATCCCTGTCCCTGTCTGTGAATTATGTCTAATACATTGTCTGCATATTTGCTTATAGCAGCTAAAGGCCTACAGGATCCCAATAAAGTCAAGACTCTCAGACGACAGGTGCAGACCTGCCTCGAAGACTATATCAATGACCGACAGTACGACTCTCGGGGTAGATTCGGTGATATCCTGTTGCTGTTGCCGCCCCTACAGAGCATAACCTGGCAATTGATAGAACAGATTCAGTTCGCGAAGCTGTTAGGGACGGCCAAAATCGATAGCCTCATCCAAGAGATGCTTCTCGGAGGTAATGTAAACGCAACGCCACAAATGCAATGGTCCAGAAACCACCAACTCTGGCAGGGATCGTACCCCAGTATGTCTGACACATTGACACCTTATCCACACTCTCCTCCTCTACTATAGTCCTCCTCTCACTTCATGTTTCCAACAATTTCTTCGTTACATTTGTCTTATTTGTATTATTAGCTAAAATGCATTCATTATGTATCGCACATTCATATGACATGATATTCAATGAATAATTAGCTCATAATATGATAAATAAGTAATGTTTCTATCATTTTATCCCATATTTTCAAACAATACAACTATATTCTGAATATATTTACTGTAAATTTTGGCAAAAATAGGGCAAACATTTCCGGACAACAGTTCAAATTCAACGGCAAATGTGATGTCCAGTGCGTCGACGAGCGGTCAGTCCAATGGCTCGCAACCAATGGTGCACTCCATGAGTAGTGTCAATGGTGTGACCACTAGTATAGCTAATAACTCACATAACTCTCTACCAAATGGTCATCAGTCGGACATTATATCAAACGGTCACAGCTCTGACACATCTATTCCCTCCCCTAATGACGATTCATATAAAATACAATCAAATCCATTGTCATTCAAACGAGAGAATATTGAATC